TAGATCCGTTGGTGTAAAATTCTGTGAAGCATAGAGCAGAATTGCTGTATGAAGTGTTCCCTTAGGGTTTCATTCTTCTTCAGTTTAGTAAGCCTAAAGTCGCAGATAGCGAGAAAACTTTTCCGTGGCGAATAGCTTGTGGTTTTTTCCAGACATACAGATATTTTTCTGAAATATGTAATTTTTGACAAACTTTTTATCTGAGGCAGAGCGGTTTTACAGCGAAGGTTTATTAGTATTAGGAGTCTTTCCCTGCATTGTGTAACAATGTTAAAACATGGATGTGTGGGTAATGAGTAAACTTTTAGTGCATAAGTTGCTAGAAGTAAACACCGTCTGGCGTCTAGGCATGGTTCGTTAGCTTCTACGTGTAGGCTTTCTACTGGGGTATTCTGTATGTTCCCGTGGCTAGTCATAGAGCATGGTTATGAATGGAATCTAGTTTTTGGAGGTATGACATTCTCGCTGATTCGTATACAGTACAACCGTAATCAAGCATGCTGCGTACCAATGATCGATACAGATGAAGGATGCATGCTCTATGGAGCCCCAGCTCTTTCTAGATAGGGTCTTTAAAATGTTGAGAGATTTATTTGATTTTGTCTTCAGAGCATTTATATGAGGTATAAAACCTAGTGATTTATCAAATATAACACCAATAAACTTGTGTTCTTTTCTTACGGGCAGATTCTGTTTGTTAAGCTGTAAATTAGGGTCAGGTTGGAGTCCTCTTTTGCGTGAAAACAGCACGGTCGCCGTTTTGTCGTTTGAAAACCGAAGCCATTTTCATCTACCCATCCAGACGGTAATTATAGCTTGTATCTCTTTCGCAGGTGTGTATGTTGGAAGAGCGACATGCAATTTGTAGGTCATCCACATATACGGAATGCTCTACAGTACAGAGTATTTTTTTTAGCAACAGAGTTCACTTTCACGATAAAGAGGGCTGTGCTTAAAATGCAGCCCTGTGGTACCCCAACCTCCTGAGTGAAAGTATGCGAGAGGGTAGTGCCAAGGCGAACTTGAAAAGTGCGATTTACAAGAAAGTTCGATAAGCAGTTGAGCATTCTGCCTCTTATTCCCATATTGGCCAAGTCCCGCAGGATTTCGAACCTCTGTTTGTGGCATAACCTTTTTCTAAGTCAAAGAAAACTACTAGGCACTGTTGCTTATGTATGAATGCTTCTCGTATTGTGTGTTCTAAGCAGACAAGGTGGTCTAATGTTGATCTCGTTTGTCTAAAACCACACTGGTCAGTGTTTACAAGGTTACGTTGTTCAAGGATGAACATGAGCCTGACATTTTATGCTTTCGAATGACTTTGCTAAGCAACTTGTCAAGGCTATAGGACGGTAGCTATTGGGTAGAGTATGTGGTTTCCCTGTCTTAAGGAAAGGTATGACAACAGCCTTTTTCCATGTTAGAGGTATTTTTCCCGTAACCCACACCTTATTGAAGAACTTGAGTAATGCATACGTTGTACTTTCAGATAGGTGTTGTAACATTGCATAATGGACGTTATCAAGGCCTGGGGCAGTTTGCTTTCGTGTTTTGAGTGCATTTTTCAATTCATCGATATTGGTTAGGCTGTTATATTCTCCCTTAGTACCATCTTTGGTAGGGAATTTCTGCATTTCCGTTTTGTTTAGTATGAAACGAAAGCCGCATTGTAGCTTGCCGAACTTGATATATGTGCTAAATGTTCTCCTAAAATGTTTGCCTGTTCTTTGATTGTGATTTGAACACCAGGAGGGGTGAGCAGAGGGATAGGATAGGCTGTGTTCTCCCCATTCATTTTTCGGACACCCTCCCATACTTTTTTTGCTTGGTGAAGAGCTATTTATGAAGCATACATAATTTTGCCAAGATATTTTTTCTGCTTGTATGCGAATGTAGCGTGCCTGCAATTGAGCTCGTTTGAAGTGTAAATTGCATACATCGGGTATCTCCTGAAAACACCCCAGGCTTTGTTTTGTTTCTCCTTCGCAGCACGGCACTGTTCGATCCACCATGGTTTTTTACGTTTTCGCGTTAGTGCTGATGTCCGAGGTATTGATATGGATGCCGCTGCTAGGAGACAGATAGTAAACCTTTCATTTAGTTCATCTACGCTCAGACGCTCATTGTATTCCTCTTCTAGATAAGCATAACTAGTGTAGAGGGGTCAGTTTGCTAAGTGTAACTTTCACCTTTGCGGTTTAGTGGGTAGTGGGGTTGGCTGGGTCAGATGTATGAGGCATGGCAGGTGGATGCTCCCGCATGGATTATCACGAACTTCCAAACTTAGGTAGACATAGACATCCGATAAGCAGAAAGCTAAGTAAAGACAACTCATCTTTCGTGTGCTTGGTGTGCAGTATGTTCGAGAATTTGTGTTAAGGATGCAAATGTCATTAGTCAGAATGAAGTCTTCTATGATTTGCCCTCTGGTGTCTGTTGTCATGCTGCCCCACATCGAACTGTGTGCATTAAAGTCGCCGACCAAGATAAAAGGTTTTGGAAGTTGTACGAGTTCTTCCAGGTCTCTAACAGTTACTTTGGTATGAGGGAGAAGGTATAAGAAGAAATGGTTACTGTTTTGAATGATGCTACACTAACCGCAACTGCTTCCAAAATGGTTTGCAACTGGATGTCTTGTGATGTAGTATTGCATTTCATGACGATTGCAACGCCACCTGATAGGCGATCGATGGTGTCACGGTCTCGACGAACAACTTTGTACTCTCTAATAAAAGTTCGTGTTTTTGACACCCAAATTTGTTTCCTGAATGCATAAAGCTAAAGAAGAGAAGCGATTTAAAATGTTTTTTATATCACCTAGGTTGCGCAGGAGTCCACGGCAGTTCCAGCGAACAATGAGTGTCATTTTTTTGTTAGGCATTAGTATCGTCACTATTTTGTTGTACGCTGACATATGCAATAGAAGATATAAAATTTAAGCTTTGCTCTTTTGTTGGTTTTACAATAGAGCTGAAACACATTTCTAGTCACTTCCCTTTTCCAAAAGCAGCAACTGCTTGGCGACCCGATTTATCTCAACCAAGAGGCAAACCAGGTTGTTTCGGAGCAGGTGTCCCCAATGTAGTAGTCGTGTCCATTGCCTCATCGGGAAGCTTAGGCACTGAAGGTGTTCGTTCAAGCTGCTTGCCTGTAGACGCAGCATTTTTTGGTGGTGCTTTATCCATAGGTACGGGTACTATAAGGATAGGATAGCCCACGCCGCAAGGGATTCCACAACAGAAACCACTTGTGGTGTCTTAATTGTTGTTAATGTGGGCCTTGATTCAAGAGCCGAGGCCTTTTGAGCGCCTGATGGCGCCTCATGAGGGAGCGAAGTCAGTGCCAAACCAGCAAAGCTGTACTGGCAGCCTGTACATACCAGACGCCGCTCTGCCCCTCTGGCAAGCTGCATCTGCATAGCGCGAGCCTGAAAACATTGCGTGCTTTCAGCGAGCTTCGGGGGTATGTGAGATTTTGGTTTACTTTCAGTTGCATGATTTCTTTCTCTTTCTTGAAGACATCGCAGGATCTTGAGTAAGTGGTGTGAGGTCCATCACAGTTGGGGCATTTTGAGAATGTTGAGTCACAATCCTCTGATGAGCGGTTCTTGTCTGCACATTTCGCACAAGTGGTCGTTCCTCGCAGGCCTGCGAACTATGTCCGTACCGTTGACACTTAAAGCATCTCTTTGAATTGGGGACATATGTCCGGACAGGACAACTTAAGTACGCTACATTTACCCTTTCTGGTCGACCGTGGCGGTCAAACGATAACTATAACTATGTAACTATGTGATAACTATGTGTTTGGTCGTTATCTCCTCCTTGGCTCTTCTGACTTCAGACAGCAGTGACTCCTTGATTTTGCAGACTTTCCAGAATATCTGTGTCTGTTTCATTTATCAACTGCTTTTCAGAAATTACCCCTTGCACGCTATTCAAGCTGCGGTGCGGTGTGACAGTGACTGCTTGTTTGGCAATTTCTTTGTGCTTCTGGAGAGCTTCACTTTGTTCTTTTGTCTGTACTTCAATCAAGACGTCTCCTGATGAAAGGTTCTCTACCTTGAAGTCTTTACGACTGCCCTTTCTAGGGACTTTGCAATCTTGAGGACTGGTTTCGATGTCATTGGTTCTTAGTCTTTAGCTGAGTGAACAACTAAAAACTTTGGGAATGTTTCAGGGAACTTATCTCTTCGTAAGACTTCGGTGCGGTTTCTTTTCCGAGGCCGATCATTTTTCTTGGAGTGAATAGATACCATGTTTTATGTATAAACAGAGGGTTCTGAATATGTCAGCTGAGGTTCACCCTCATACTCTCAGCAAGGTCCCAGAGCCTCCAAGCTGGTAAACAAGTCAAGGCCCGTCGGCCAGGACTTCACCAAAACCCTGACCCCCACCGTTCGTGGTTTCTAATCCTCCATCTTGCAACGTGTAGCCACGGTGCGAGTAACAGCGTCAGTTTGGGGGCTAAAAAAGTTCCGCGGTGGCGCCAAACACCATTACCTTGATAGCTCAAGATACCCTTGCGGGTAGCTCAGGTCCGTGGTGTCACTACGCACCAAATGCCTGCCGAAGCAGTTGCCCCTGCAGAAGGTTTGAGAATGCTTCATTGTTATTTCGTCTTTATTATTCTTATTTATTGAACAAAGGAGAAGCGTTGCTTTCAACGAGTGGTGGGACGCTGACGTGCAATCTAGTGCCTACGTATACAGGGTCGCCAGTCAACGATTGTGCAGTGCGAGCACTCGGTTTTTAATAGCAGCCGCTGCATGCATAGGACTTGCGAGGCAAGAGATGGGGGGGGAAGGTAACTACAGGTGCCACGAGACGCAAGCATGCGGCACGAGACATGAGGCGCAAGCGTGCGCAGTACGGTTGCCGCTGCCGAGGCTGGTTTTGGGAGCAGGTATGACTATAAAATGCTCCGCATTTAAAACTTGCTGTGAACGACTCCACGTTTTGTGACCAGTTTGCTTCAAGAGGTGCTTGTTACACAATGCATACAAACAAAAATCTTACTGTTTATTGACAAAACATGCAGTGTTGGTACCATAAAATCATGCCAAAGAAAAAAGTGTCACAGTTCCCACAAACATTTAAAAATGTAAAAAATAATGATAGAACAAATGCAGAACTTGGGTCCAGATCAACCAACTTGCTGAGATTCACAAATCACGACATCACCCAGAGACAGTACAATCTCCATAATTTGTGGAATGCACTAGCCCTCTAACAGTAGCTGTTGATTATACATACAACCAACATCACTTCATTGAGACCTTTCAAATATCCTCTCATACATTTTGCAATACCATGCAGTTGCCACTGGATTCAGAAAGCGAAGTTGACCGATATGACATTAAATTTTCTAGTCGTTATGAATAACATTAAAGCATTATATATATGTATATTTGCCTAACTAGCCATCAGATATTTACAAGCTGCATACAGCCAACCTGCACAATAAAAGATAACCAATCCATATGGTGAGTAAAAGAGTCATACATATATGAATGTGTTGCCTTTTTGATTAAATCAGCACACTGCACATTCACAGCACTTGAACCCTTGATGAGCTTAATAAAACTGTGTACATGTGCTAGAGATTGCCTGCAACACTGCTAGGCCTTGACAAAACTACTTGCAAACGCTAAAAAAACAATTTTTTTTAATCACATTATGAATGTGTTGCCTTTTTGATTAAATCAGCACACTGCACATTCACAGCACTTGAACCCTTGATGAGCTTAATAAAGCTGTGTACATGTGCTAGAGATTGCCTGCAACACTGCTAGGCCTTGACAAAACTACTTGCAAACGCTAAAAAAACAATTTTTTTTTAATCACAATGCAACACAACAGGGCTTTGTTGTCACCAATGTGCGACAGAACTAAGACAACACTATGCTCAACTGCATGCACTGGAATATTTGTAGCACCATTTATGATTATCCCTAATGTTAATGTCCAATCGCATTCTCAAACTACAGATGCCAAGCCAGGCACATTTTCATGCTCACCACTAGACGACCAGTAATTAACAACACTCACGAATTACTGCTTTTACACTCAATGTCACACACCTACCTATTGATAAACTCATGACTGCACCGGAGAGAGGATTGTAAAGCTGCTGATTCAGCTGCAATACATTGTGATGAAGGAGGACCACTCACTTACTTGTGTGACAGCACAATATTTTTGTGACATTAACATTGATCACATACATCACAAGTTTCACACAGTCATTATACAGTGTGTTATAAGTAAAAGAAACAGGAAATACCTCTACCCCAAGGCTCTTGTAGTCAGGTGAACAGAAATTAAATAACAATAAATAGAGGCACTTAAAAGATGTGTAAAAGGTGGTACTGGTACACACGTGTGAGCACTGCAGCATAGAACTCCTCGCACAAAGGGTGGGAACATCAACACCACTTCTACTGCAATGAATGTACATCCGACACTAATGTGCAATCCAATGAGACAACCATCATCAACCTTCGGAAACTTTTTCTACAGCATTACCTTATGTACAACACTGGTGCTCTCCCTCAAGTCAGTTACCTTAACAGTTTTACGGCTGCATAGGTAAGTGTTCTCACAAATTTTTATATGCTTGGTACACGAAAAACAGAAACAAAAAAAGTATACTGAGCGTGCCCCTCCTACCCACATGCCATATTTTCACTCTGAATAACAATTCAAATAAAGTTGTAACACGCCTAAATAACAGGACTTGGTTGTTATCAAATATATCAGTTCCCTTTCAAGGCAGTGCCACATACAGTTGTTCTAGGTGTGTAGCTTCAAGTAGTTTTCCTTCAATAAATGCACAAGCAACTTTGTGAAATCCTGTCTACCCGATATTTACATACCTTATGGTTTCATGTCACAACACAATATTTCCTGTTCTGTAATGGGAATTTTACTGTACCAAACTTTAAAGACAATGAGGAGTATTACAATATTTTCCCAAACACTTCTTAATACACACTTATAAAGATAATTAAATAAACAACAAGCAGAAAGAATTAAAATAGAGTTAATTAACAAGTCCCACACTAAATGCAGGCCAAGGAGTCAAGAAATTTTGAAGAAAAAAGTACTGATTGACTGACTCGATGTGTATAAGAGGAGATATTATGATGAAATAATTCTTAGACCATATTAGTATAACATTACACGGTAGCAGTGAATTCATCTACTGGGCTAGGAATGTAAGACCGGATTACACAGAGGCACATGCAGCACAAACACTCAATCGTCTTTTGATGTGCCACATATCAATAGCTGCAGTTCTAAAATCTCTGAAAACATCTTGCACTTATGGCTGTAACCATTCTCAGCAATTGGAAGCTCTATATCACTCATATAGAACACTTGGCAGTGTTATTTGCCTGATATGCCTAAGCTGATAGGAGGCTGCAACATTCAGGTAATGATGTTGCAATTTCTTACATAGAAGGAGACAATCCAGGTATTCTTATAAGCCACAGGGAGAAAAATATGCAACACTGTAGTAAAACCTGAGAGAAACGGAGCAGAATTAATTGAAATGTTTTAAAACAAAAACATAGGTCACCCCATGCACCAAGTGTGAAAACTACGGGAACAGTTTTCAAGAAATTCACGCCATAAACACACAGTGAGAATTCACTTGCGCAGCAGTGAAGGTCATTGTGACAGTCAGCACATCTGTTGCTCCTCGGCCCTAGTAAGGATCTAGTACACTATCAGCAGGGTCTTTGAAAAATTTGTGAGCTAATCGAGTTGTGGTCAACTTCTTGTTCCAGGCCAGGGGCAAACTTCACAACCAAGTGATGCAAGACTCGTCTACCCAAGAAGACATGGGTGCAATGCATGATGCACATAACGGCTCAAGAAAAATTTCAAATTTAGCTAGAAATGAGGCAAACGATTTAGATTCAAATGCAGAAGCTAGTGGGTATGAATGATATCACAATGAAAAACATGGCTCGAGAGCAACTGAAAAAATACATGCAACAACCAACTGAGACTGCTCCGTCAATGCTATGGCATTGACCTTTACCACATCCTGTGAAAAGTTCATCGTGGGAGAAAATGCTCAAGTGGCTAAAAACCACGTGACTTCTGTGCAGCTACAAATTCTGGATAATCAATAAAGCCATCGCGATTGCGGTCGTCCATCTGGAGGATGGGGTCAATCATAGCCTGAAGCTCGGCATCGGTGAACAACTTGGTGGTGCCATGGGGGGTGGGCTGCTGCTGACCCTGCTGAGCTAGGTGCTTGCTCTCCTCAACTGCATCACAAGACAAAACAAGGACAACCTTTAGAGCAACCTTTAGAACTGACTAAGGAAAACGCGAAAAATCCCGCTCATCCTGACAGTAGATGATGTGCAAAGCAGCAGGCGATTAGTGGCCTATACCAAATTTTTCTTTATTGCTTCATGTCAAGTATTGCGAGTTGGACCAACATGTTGGCACATTTTCAGCAGTTACAGGTATATCATAGACATGCTCGTAGTAAGGAACTTCTTTCGGTGTGGAGGGGCAAAGGCCTTGACTGTTTAAAGGGCTCCTGCGACACATTTGTGACAGCCTTAATTAGCACCGAAACGTGTGTAGTAATGATTGCTGAGACAAATGTGACAAGAACGATGCGAATTGGTGCAGGAAAAGTGCAATGAGTCCTCCAAGTTCAAAACTTGAGCAGACGATGACGAGAAACGTTCCCTTTCACATTTCAGTCGCCTGCCCATGTCGAAGACTGCTTCCAATCTCAGGGTGTGTCTCATAAAGACACAGTCGAAATGCCACCTCATCGTCGCCTTCACACAGTAGCTCGCAACCGCTACTTTTTGACATTTTCGCCAGCATGGTTGCAGCGAACCATGTGTGTCAGGTAGCAGATGCTCCCACAGTCACGCTGTGCACATGTATCCCTTAAACGGGGACACTTCCAGGCTTGCATGCAACACGCGCTCTAAGGCAATGCTGGCGTCCACCGCAGGTGACATTTTAGGCTCGCTAAAAATGCCAGAAGCATTTCCCCCTTTACTTACTGGCGTACCATGGCCGCATTTGCAGAACAAGTGTCGTGCTCGTTGTTTTGAAAATACATCATTTAGAAAGAGATCATTTCTTTCTGAGAAAGTATAAAAATGGTTTTTACTGTTTTTAGCATTCACACGTATGGTCTAGCTACCACCATATGAATATTGCACGCTACTTGTCACGTCCAGACAATAAAAAAGGAACGGCCTTTGTCACAATAGTCAGAAAACACTTCCGATCGCTAGTAGGGGCTTCCGAGAACATACTAGGTAAATATTATAGCACAGCACGCGGCCCGGAATTCACAAAAAATGATCAAAGTCAGGTAAAAATTAATTTCCCTTATCTCGAGAAATGACGGAAGACGCTAAAAATCCCCTCATAGAAGTCCATCTTTCAGCCATTGGCTAATTTGAACATGGCGTGATCGGTGGTTACAAGCATCGCCGCGTCTTGTTCACGTGTCCACGCGCGATCACACTGAAAAAGTTGTGTATTCGAAAAAAGAAAAAGAAAACAGTGCTCAAAGTAACGAGGCGCGCGTGACGTCCTTTTTTTTTTTTTTTTTGCCCCTGTCATCCCTCCCTGCTTAGCTCCAAGTGATTTCATCGAGACGAGAGAAAAGAGAATGCGTTTGCAGCGTACGACAAATGTTTGTAACTTCGTGTACTGGACGGATTCTTAAAATTATTGCGGCGTTGAATTCGTGAAGCAAAGGGTACTTTTACTAAATTCATTCCATGGTTACCTGAAAAAGTGTTCACGGGCCCCTTTAAGGTTCGTACCTTTGCTACATCTATGACCTGGTTGGCTTAAACAAACGCTATTCAAGAGTCGTTCAGTATCACAGTAATGTCCGAAAGTCGGCTTCCCGCAATGCAAGAAAACTATGGGGTGAAGCAGATAAAAATTCCAAAGGGCCGGTACCACTGTGGAAAGAGGTGATGTCTAACAGATAAGCATGGGAAATTCTTGGGGGAATGATGGCGCCAATGCCGCAAACACGCCTGTAAGACTCGACCACTTTATGATAAGCATCTCCAGATAACTGCTTGTTACTGCATGTGGCGTAGTTGTCAGCGTGCTGCACGCTTTTAATCACTTACGCGCGCTGCCGGTCCAACGGTCCAAGCTGCCTTTCTGTGCGAATAGGCTAAGTGCGCCGCACAGACGTGGTGCCTTCACGAACGAAAGCAGCTCACCATAACTGCGCCCGTGTGTGATCAGGAACAGAGTGGGCATCAAAAACACGTTTTAATGACAAACACGTGCGTATAAAAGCGCCCGGTAGGAATGGTGTCAGCCAAGTAGGCAATGTGCTGCACACAACTAGGAACGATGGATCTCGTGTGGCAGGAAGTGCTAGTGTCACCGGAGATTTTCGTATAGTGGCGCCCCTTCCAAGTGCACAGACGCATCGCAGAGGTCCGGACAAGTATTCTTCTATTCTGCCACATCCTTTATGTTCTGTGTCATCGTTTTCACACGCTCCATGCGACAACTTATTCCACGCTTCAGTAGTACTGGCAGCAGGCTCTGAATATGTTTGGGTCAGCCTTAGGGTGCACCCAAATGCCTGGTAAGTATACTTTAGGAGGCATTGAAGCTATTTCAGACTGGGCTGTGGCAATTTTCGCTTAAGTGGAACAAAATGTCATGAATCTTTTTTGGACGATTTCCTAGTCGCTAGACACGAAAAATCGGGCATTCACTGCGTACCAACCATCCACGATCCCAACTAGGGTGGCTAGAATATTCCAACAGTGATGAATATTTCAACATAAGACCCAGTGCACCTAGCTGCATTTTACGCAGGTGCACTGCAATGTCATTTTCAGCAGAAAAAACCCAAGTAGTTTCGTTTCTGAAAGTCGGAGCACGCCATTTGGTGCAGGTTGGGCGTAGACTCGCCAAACTTTGAGGTAACAGCGTGTAGCAGCCAGGCCGATTCGGTGAGGCTTGGTGCAATTGGCTCAGCGATAGCATCACTGGACGTTATTCCACAGGGTGGTTTTGGGACGTTAAACCATTTAACGTCCCAAAATACTCGTTTCTTTATTTTGTCTTTTTTTCTTGTGTGTTATATATGTTGTACCCACCCCCTCTGTAATGCCCTACGGGCCCTGAGGGTATTCTAATAAATAAATAAATAAATAAACTAGCTTGTTCGCTACGTATATGTGCTAAAACACTTGAATACGCGGAAGAAACGCGGAAACTTCTCAGTTTTTTTTTGTAGCTTTCGTCAATCGGATCCCTGAAATGATAGCGTTGGGGCAAGGTGCCTTCCGGTGTTTGTAATCGTGCAGCCGACATTTCCCTTCACTTCAACAGATTCAGAACTGTACAGAGTATTTCACTGCGAAGCATGCGTGCATTCCTGTTTCCAGCACTTACACCAGTGGGAACAGGAGCAGCCTCGAACCACAAAAAATCTTCAGTGATGGGTTCACCAGTCATGAATGAATGAACTCCATAGTTGTTCAGAGCATATAGTACACCATAATTCATTTTTCAGAACGTGTGAACTTGAACGAGAACTGCCAGCGCATGCAACACAAGTTTACTTATGCTCTCCTGTGCACCATTCATGCCTGTTGGTTGTCAGTTTCAGGTATTCTGATGAGAGTCGCTGAAATTTCACTGCTGTCATCAACTCCTTCAAGTTCATTCGCGTTTGTGCTATTTCATCAGAACGCAACAAAAACTACCAGTCTTCCATATGGTGGTAATCACAAATCTGAGACGTCTAGAGCACAGAGTAAGAAACTGGGAGAACGCGACCTTACTGGCACCTGAAAGGAAGCGAAGGAAATGTATACCAACGAATCTTTATGCCAGGTGAGAAACGAGCGCAAGTGTTTAAGGAGGAACTTCACCAGCCGACATATATCGTAGCTAAAGTTCTTGTTCAGGGTTACTTTCCGAGCTTTGCTTAGCACGTTGCTTCCTAGCAATGTGAAGGCACCCACTTCAAATACGCTGCCTACACGTATTGCAGGGTAGTTCGTGTCCTGGATTGATCAGCGCCCTACGAGACTCGATCGCGCCGAAACTCCAAACGGTATAATGCTTGGTGATTATTTCCCGAAAGCGACGCTGCTCCCAGTGCACACTTGACAACTGGCGAAAATGAGGATGCCGCTTGTCACAGGTAGACAACTTCATCGAAGCAACCTGCTGGTGGCTAGCCTTGAAGAGCACTTTAGCCTTTTAGTATTGCTGGCCTTTTCTGGACTATTTAATAGACCAGTTTAATGAGCGTTTTAAAAGACGTCGGCAAATCTTGAAGATCCTTTCTTCCCTTCTGCCATAGAATATTCCCGAATCTGCCGAGAAGTTTGCCGACGTCTACTCGAACATTATCTCAACTTTGGCATTGCAAGGGGGGTTAGCAGTACGGGCTGCCAAATGTAAGCGAGAGAAGCGAGAAACGCTGAGCATGTCTGCGAAGCAAGCTGTTGCCAATTGCCCAGAGGTATTCTTCTCAAATGTGCACCATCTTCTAAAGATTATGGCAACTCTGCCGGTGAACACAGCTGAAGCAGAACACTTTTTTTCATCGCTGAGACGCATAAAGTTGTACCTGAGAGCTACAACAAGAAATGAATTATTGTTTGAAAGCACTCTCTGAACATCCACTGGGAAATACAAGTCCACCCATACGACATTATCTCTGTTCTTTACCGGGAGCGTAGACGGCTTCCGCTGAATGTGTGTGTAGTATCAACCATAGACGCATGCGAAAATCAGAAAATAAAGTTAACCGAAGTCATTCTTGGATTGGGATTTTCTAAACAACACTAAAAACATGGTTATTAATGACCAATTGATAGGGTTCGCCATTCCAAAACCACGATACGATTACGAGAGATGCCGTAGTTGGGCTCCAGAAATTTTACCACTTTGGTTCTTTAACATGCACCTAAATCGAAGTGCACGGACCTCAAGTACTTTTGCCTACATCTAAAATATAGCAAGGATCCGATCCCGCTACCTGCAGGTCAGCAATAACCACTGCACCACGGTGGCGGGTACTAAAAAAGACTGTTTTTGTAAAATCAGTATGACCTACTTTTCGTCTGGCTGTAAGGAAACAAGCTCAACTGTATAAGACATATTGCTGAAAATCACTTTGACAGCATAGCAGAGTGATTCCGTTCTCTCCTTGGTTTTCAGTGGCAACTTTCATTTGCAGACGTAGTTCGTGGATACGAAAGGTGTGAATCGCAATGCAACAACC